GAGGGGCCTGGCCGCCCTCCTCCGAAAAAGAAAATTCCGAAGAAGAACGTACTTCGCAAATCATGTGACTTGAGCCAACACACGTCCATATATTGGTGTGGCCATGTACTGATGTTTAGGTTAGATTAGATGGACCCTGTCCAAGTTCCATGCCGCAAGTATGTATCTCACTATGCCAGCAATTCAATAAACGAGGGTTCCACCCAGCATGTACAGTGTACAGTGAGTGTGTACAGTGTACAGGAGACAAAGCATGACACTTGTCATCATTGTGCCTTGAAAAAACCTTTACATGTGCTTACAAAAAGATAGAAAACCGATGACTGTAGTTATTATAGCCACCCTGCCCACAGTACACCCTAAGTCCTAAGTAACGCGACCTACCTGAAACTACATATCTGCGTAATCCTAGACCTAAACACTATAATCACTATAACCATCTTGACAGCTCAGATGCCTGCCACTGCGCCATCAAAGTGTAACAGTGCGGGCTGTTCCGCGGAAGCAGGAAGCTTTCGAGTGGCCGGGGAGTTTGCCGCTCTTGCTCCCGCAGAATCTCCTCACGCGCAAAAAGCTACATGACTAAGGCCAGTGCCTAAACCTTTAACCCTAGGCCCTATACCCTAGATTATCGGGGAAGCGTAGGGCGTGGGGTTGATCGAGTAGCAACAGCAACAATGCGGCTGATGGAGGAAATCGTGCACCATCTTAAAGTACAAGGACCTAGGAATTACAGTCTCAGTAGGGGGGGCCCTAAGCAGTGCAAGATTTCATCCATCTACTGTATTTTTGCCCAGTGAGAGCTCAGCCCTTGATTTTACTTGCTCGTGAACTTCAAACGCTGGGTTTGCGTGCGTGCCACAATTATTTGATGTGTGAGGCACACAAGCTTCACAACCCTCGGAAATGTACAAACTATGACATTATGATTTAACCTCATGTGATTTATTGCGTGCTCCTGCTAACCGCCTGGCAGCGCAAACAAACGTGAAGACATTGCTCCAATTCGGCAATATGCAAGTACCTACTTACCAACTACCAGTAGTCAGTAGTAGTACATTCAACCCTGCCACAATGCATTTCACATGATGTCTTTCGAGGACCATGCATACATACCATTCAACACCTCAAGACAATGTATCTGTTGCAGACTCCTCAGACCCCCCCTGGAGGCCAATTATTTATTCTTTTTAGAATTTCAGAACTCGACTCTACAGTAGAAGACATTGCAAGCTGTCTACGCCCACGCATAGATCTTTCAGTTTCTGGCCCAGCATTACCTCACAAACCCTGGTCCCATAGCTACATACTACATATTTGAGAAAGCAACTAGCCTGCTACGAGCACAATCCTTGCACGAAAAAACAAGTGGGCACAATTGTCGCCAAAATGAACTTTACAATGTGCAATGCTGACAGTGGACATACTCTCTACTGCACAAAGCTCAACGCGACGCCAGCTAGAGCTAAACTTAAGGCCTCAGAACCTTAGAGGAACCTGTGGCATCCTACAAAGTTTGGAACAATAAAGCCCTCAATAGCCATAAAAGCAACAACACCTGCTTTGTCATTCCAACACAGATTACCCAAACACCCAGCCAACACACCATTTCTCGTAGGCCGTAGTATGTTCCCTGACCTTGTGGTTTTTGCTGGTCACAAACAAGTACTTAGCACTATATATATAATACCTTGCCTGCTGTAGTGACCCCATGCCCGATCCTTTGCTGCCCTGGAGACTTGAGGGCCTATGGCTATAGCGAGTGAGGAGTTTCATGATTCACGGCGACTAATGACTAGTTCCCAGCTATTGGCTTTGGTAGCAAATCCAAGTCTACATCATTCAAATGCGAAACATGTGATGTCGACAACTATGACAATTGCAATAGGCGGTTATGACCTGTGAAGTCTAGTGTACAGCGTAGGGAATCAGCTGGATGTCAGGCATAGCGGCCCCCCAGGTTCTACATCAGCATATCAGCATTCCTTTGTATTGGCTGATATCCTGCTAATTCCCAGGACCCAAACATAACACGGGGAAACGATGTCGCTTTAGACAAGGGTTCTAGTAATATAAGTTGGGAGTCACCATTTGGGCATTTGGGAACCAAGTACATGACATAGGGCTGAAACAATCGGCTGGTAGCGTATGTATGGGAAAATGTTTGAGCGTACCCGTACTCTGCATGGTCTCCTCAGTTTGTCAGTGCCGCTTGTGCTGTGGCTTGGGGGCGTCAAGCTAGGATGTATGGGTTTGGGCGTTGGATGAGTTTCCTTTGGGGAGTGAAAAAAGTTTAGTTTTTTGGATTCAAGTTGAGGGCTGTAAAGAGTCTAGCGGGGTCTACAATTTAGTGATGTGAGGCCGACTGCTTCCAGCTCAGCTAGCTTTTCAAACTGTTTTGCTACTGCTAGTGGTGCTACTGCTAGCGGCTGCTAGTGACTGCTGCTAATGATCTGCAAATGACCGGTTGCGCACGCAGCTTTCTGCGAACAAGTATATGGATGCGCAAAAAAGGACATACGACGATAGGACCCAGGGTGTAGGACTTTAGGGGCATTATATACGGTGTTGAGCATGTTCTACCCTGACAGTAGAACTGTTGGAGTTGCGGCAAAGGAAGGCCTCAGCAAACAAGTGGATGCTGCATCGACGGCGGTGGCACCATAATTGTTGCTGTTTTGCTGGTGAGTGACTACTTGCAATTGCGCTTGCATGAGACTCTCTGTGACTCTATAGGCCCCAAGGCCACTGTAGACCCAAAACACCCAAGCCTCAACCTCTAAGCCCTGAACCTAGGACGTAAAAAAATCCTGTAAGCCCTTAAACCCGGAACCCTTGCCGTAGCCCTTTAGCCTTACATAACCCAGGTCACACAGGTCGTCGACAATGAACTTCCAGGCTGCCATGTCCTGGACAGTGTAGATGTCCTTCCTCAGGTAGCCGACGTAGATCCTTGCCGCAGCCATTTACGGGGATTCACCGGAATTTACCGTGGACAGTCAAGAATGTGGGGTTTGGCTTGCGCTAATGGCTAATGTGGCGAATTCTAGGACCGGCAGAAGCAAAAGCATGTTGATTCAATGAAGTATGATGCGATGTGTCAAATGGAGAGCTGCCGAGCAAACTGTTTTTTCTCAGTCTCCAACAACCAGTGGCTCTTCATGCGGTTCATCCGCTGTTTGGGCACGCTCTTTGTTGAGCCACCACTGTGCACCCGGAAGAGCGCTGAAATCTCGGCGCGCTTTGGCACGAACATCAAAGTTGGTAGCAACAACAGAAGACCAAACGTGCGAGTCTTTGTCCGGATGCTTGTTCTGATCACGCAACCAAGCTACTAGGTACCCAACCGGGCGACCCTGCCCCGGGCGGGGACCACTCAGCAGCTTTCTTTGCTTGGAACATGGCTGCACGTGATTGGCACACGAGCAAAATGCTCGAAAAGTCTGGGTATTTGAGTTGTAGCGCAATTCGCCGTAGTCCCAAATCTTGATGGTTTCCTCTTGGACGGTCTTCACGCGCGGACCTTGCGAAGCTTGGGCTTTGGCTTTGGCTTTAATGGATTTTGACCGTCTTGATGAGGATGATGCAGAAGGCTCTGCAGCACCAGGTTCATTGGAGCCAGTATCAGGCTCCAGGGAGCCAGCAGCGCCAACTTGGTCAGCTGCAACCACCTCTGGCTTAGCTGGTTCGGGATCCACGGTCAAACCAACCACAGCCTCTCCCAAGCTAGCAAGTTTCTGCCACTCATCTTCATCCGCCTCATGCTCCTTCTCAGCGGGGCCTGCTCCTGCTGCATCTCCCAGAAGAAGACCCCGTATGGCCTCCAGTACAAAAGTCTTAATATTAAGTCCTTCTTGTATAATCTAGAATCGAGAATTAAAAGTACAAGCCTAAACTACGATGAACCCAAAAACCAGAACCCTGAATCACACCAACCTAAACCTAGTAGATGAATAACTCCGTATTTCCTTTGACTTTGTTGCTAGCCGCGTCTGCTAACCGCGAACTGCTAACTGCTAGCCAACCCTAGCCGCCCTAGCCAGCCTGCCAGTCATCTGCATCGTACCCAGGGGGTACCTGGCCCATTCCATCACCAGCTGGCTCGCTGGGAGCGTAGCCGCCAAGACTGTCCTCATCGCTCACGTCTGGAGGCGCCATCTCCTCATCTTCATGCACATCGGACAGCAAATCACAGCCCTCGCTGCTATCAGCATCATGCCTGTCAGCAAGGGCATCATCATCTTCAATTTCATCCTCCTTGTCCCTGTTGCGAATGCTGTGGGCAGGACCACGATCCCGGGCACGTTTCAGGTTTCTGGCCTGCTTTTTGCGAGGGCCCACAGACTGGTTTCGTTCGCGCTTCCGCTTGCTTGGCCGGTTCTGCCGCCTCTCCCCAGCCTTCTTGAGGGACTCTTCAGTCAGGCCATGCCATGGGCGCCAGCTTCCAACTGCACTTGTAGGACAAACAGTAAATGTGTTTGGGCGCATGTCGTCGGGGTCGATTAGCTCCTCGTGCACGTTGCCATGTTCAACAATTCGGTAAAAACTCGCGGTCCATGACAAAGTCATATCCAACAAGCGGAAGCATTCAAATGAGGTTTGGATTTGAATGTCACTGGGCACACGCATCTTCAAATGCGCGCTGCTGTTCGGGGCCGGAATTTGCCCACTCTCAGCACACTCCAAAGCCAAAAGAGCAAATCGATAGCTGCTGAAATTCACATAGCTGATGAGAAAGAAAACTTCCACTGGCAATTCCCGTGCCCTCTGAGCAAGCTTTGCTGCAGCTGCTCTCCCCCAAGCGCTGGATGGCTGCGAAGCAGAAGAGGACGCACACCCTTCGGGCTCTGAATCCACATCATCCTTCTGCACATCGTCCGTGCGTGATGGTGTAAGTCTGCAAACAAGCCAAGTTCCTTCAAGCAGCAGACGCCCCTCTGGCGGCGGCTTTGTAGCAGTCTCACCTTTCTTTTTCCGAGGCTTAATAACATGTGGCTTCAACAGCGCCACAAAATTGCAGTGAAAGCGGTAAGCTTTGTAGTCCTGGCTCGTTTCGTCGCACACGCAAAAGCCCAAGGAAGCACAAACAGTCAAAGCCTCTGGCTCTTTGAGTTCTTCAATGTTAAGGTTCTTTTGCAGCTCATGAGCTTGTGCCCACTTCTTGAGCAGTGCATCCCTCAATTGAAAGCGCCGTCCGTGCCACGTCTTGGCATTCATCAGGAGAGCTGCCTGCAATTGGTTCTGAGCTGACAGAAAGACCCAAGAAATAATCCATTCTCACGCCAAGTCGACATTCACTTCAATAGAAAATAGTAACAAGAGTTGGAAAAATCAAAAAGGCCACGCAAGTTACAAACCCTGGACCTAAGCATGAATCATGACTTTTCAGTTAAAAGACTTATGACCTATGGAGCTACGTCTAGTCAATGCGAGTCTAGTCTATGACCCTATGTCCTATGTCCGTCAGGGCTGTTATTCATGAGTTATTTCCAAGAAATTCTCTAGACTCTAGCTTCAAAGCTGAAGTCAAAGAGCGGGCCTGCCCCATCCTTGCGCCAGGATGTTGCCACTCAAGCGTGGGCACAGGTGCGGCGCAGGAAGTGCATGACCCACTCGTGTGTGGCAAAGGCACATTCAGTTCAGCTTTCAGGTCTCCATTAGAAGATGCATCAAACGCCTCCAACTCCTGCGACACCCTCGCTGCAGCCTCCACCTCCTGTTTTTGATTGGCTCTGGATGTGGCTTGCAACGCAGCCTTCCAGTGCTGAATGCTAGCTCGTGTCTCATCCAGCGTAGATCTTGCGACTCTTGCGGGCACAAGAACTTCTTCATCCGCCAAAGCAACAGGGGCACGCAGTCGTTGGCCTGTTCAATGAACATGCAACACTCCATGAGTCAAGCTACTAGTCACTAGTCACTAGTCATTCGTTTGCTTAGTACCAGCAAGATACAGGACATGATGCTATCCAGCACTCATGCACATTGAAGATCTGGGATATGTTTGTGGATCCCTTGCACTGTACATTCTACGACAATACACCACACCGATACCGAGAATACTCTAGCATTCTAGATTCTAGATCCTAGCCCTTTAGCAACACCTCCCCATGCCCGGAAGGTTGTATCCATCCGTAACTTTAGTAATCTTAATTCGGCTAATCTTATCTTATTCAATCTTCAGGTTTCCTACCTCCTATTCCTAGCCCATGTTATGAATACTCCTATTCAAGATTCAAGACTTGACAAAACTAACTTGAACCAATCACAAAAAGGATATACCCATTTTCACCACAGCCTGTGCATCTTGGAAAGGGTGCCCCGCCAGCTCGACGACTGATTGCCGCCTCCAATCCAACATCCTGAAATCTTTGCCTTTGTTCAGGCCCCAGTCGTTTAAAGTCCGCGTTCAGACGGCGAAACAGCGCACGGCGCCTTGTTGGCGTCAGCTTCCACACTTGAACTCCTCGAAGCATTTCTGAAAAAAATGCCCGTTGGGCACCCCCTCCGCAGGTTTTCTTCTTCTTGCGGGCATTCCGCCTTGGTTTCTGCAGGATTTTCTGGCTAGCTGCCTTTCGGAGCTCAGACGATACTTGTCTGCAGAGGAAATCTGCACTCACCAACTCCAACTCAGGCGACCATGTCATGCCACGCTGGTCCAACAGCTTGCGAATCATTGCATGCCTGCACTCAATCCCAGAAACATCTACGTCTGCGAGCACCGCCACAGCATGCAAATGGCCTAGCAGGGTTTCAGGCTTCATGTTGGATTAATGACGGTTTAAGTCTAGGCCTAAAGTAAAGTTTTTCAAGTTCAGCCACAAATTCAGATGACTAGCCCACGCCTAGAGCTTCTTGGCTGACGATGGCTGTCCCCGGGAAGGCATCCATGAAATGGCTTGTGAAAGCGTCGCGGACACATGGTGGCATGCCCTGCAGCTCCTGGACAATTTTTTCGCGGCGCCCCTCATCCAACAATCCAAAGACCAGGTACGGGCACTTTTGGAAAGAGCTTCTGAGGAAGAAGTGAAGTGCACCTGCTATCCTCGCCAGCAGCCTGAGCATCAGGACTTTGAACCCCATCTTCCAGCTTGTTGTAGGTAGGGCACGAATGGGACTGTGCAGGAGGATGCTGATTCGATCAAAAGCACGCACCAGATCACTTCCAATCGCACATTCAGTTGCGCGGTACTTGCGACATTGTCCTTGCAAGCAACGATGTTGTTGTTGTCGTTCCCACTCAGGAGCAGCCTTTTTCAGAAAGCCGTAAAATAAGCTGGTCACAACGGTCATGGCATTTCGAACCACAGCCAAAACGTTGAGGTCCCTCTTTGCCACCCATTGTCGAACTTTTTGTTGAAACGATTTCTTCAGTTCCGCCCAATTCTGCGAAGCGGCGGCGTCCTTGTTTTCTTCGGGAGCAGCTGGCAATGGTAATGGTACAGGGGCAGAAACCTCGCCCGCCTGACCATCACCGTCCTCTTTGGCGGATTCCTGTGCCCACTGCACAGCTGCCTCGACAGTACCATCCCACGACGAAGCCACTTGTCCTGCATCGACAACAGGCGTGTTCGTCTTCATAGGCCCAAGCATGCGTTCCAACGTTGGCCCAAGCAGGCCATGATGAGCCTGCACCAGCCCTAGCCAATCAAGGGTGGCCTCCCCTCCAAGCCACCGATGGCGCGGGAAGATTGGTAAGGTTGTCGGTACCAGTGCAGGGACAATCTGCTCAGCTAGGATCACCTCGGCATCAGCATAAGTGAGCGGCTTCCCTCGCGTGTAAAAGCCAACACGGGAAGCCTCCAGATCGCCAGCCAAAAACGTGTCCAGGACAAGTCGTTGCCTCTGGCGGCGCGCCTTGACAGTCGCACTGCCCTCGAGGCGGGATAAACTGCTGCTCAAAAACAGGTCATACACAGCCTTTCGATTGGCCTCAATGTGGCCCCCTGGAGGTTCAGTGTGGATCAGGTCAAGCCTTTCCTTCATCACTTGCAGCAGGCACCTGCGAAACATGTCCACGCTGCCAGACCCTGACATAGCCAATGCACAAGCGATTACTGCAGATATGTCGTCATTGACAATACCCAACTGCCAAGTTTGACTTGTGCTGACTTTGTGTACCACACATGGAAAAAACAGCGGGACTTCATTCGGCGTGTGGGTGCGCAGCATCTTTTCCTCAGCAGCAAACTTCATGAATCCATGCTGATTGCCTGGACTGTAGACTCTAGACTAGATATTCCCCAATATCCTGGAGACTAGGGTGGTTTATCTTGTTGTCTCATTGCTCATCTAAATTGGGTTGCTATGCCGCTATGCCGTTTGGGATTTGCATTCTGAGTTACTTACAAACGTAACTTGCAAAATAGACCCCTGGGCCCCTGAAGAAACGCACACCAAAAACAACAACAACAACAACAACAACAACAACAACAACAACAACAACAACAACAACAACAACAACAACAACAACAACAACAACAACAACAACAGCAGCAGCAGCAGGAGCAGCAGCAGCAGCAGCAACAACAGCAACAAACAACTGATCACGTCATTCATCACTTGACAAGGTACTGCCAACAGGTTTCCAGAGAAACGGTCAGCAGTGGCCAAATTGACAGTGGTCGGAAACGCTTGCGTTAACTGGCGCATACCAGGGACAGAGTCTAGCACCTTCAGCTGAGCTTGCAAAATGTCAGTTGCTCGCGTTTTCTGCAGCGCCTGCAACGATGTAGGAACAGTGCCATATAGAAAAACCAGCCGGGACGGAGAACCGCCGGGGGTCATCTCCACCAACATGCCCATACGAAAGCGTGTCTGCAGAACTTTCACTACAGATGCGGCCTTTTCATCAGTGTTCCGGCCGGCTGCGCATTCTTGAAACTCATGCACCCGGAATCTCAAGGGCGTCTCATCATAGCAGCGTTGCCGTATCAAACAGCGCAACTTCAGTTTCGCATCTGCAGCTTTGGCCTTGTTTTCCAACCAGCTCAACATCGCCGACCAAGCGTTAACAGCTGCTCCCTGCACAGCAGCAGCAGTCGCTAGCAGATGTCTCTTGACCGTCCTTCTGTCTGTGTTGATAATATCTGCCTCTGCTGTTAAGGTTGCGCAGTTTCTGCTATCAGGCCGGAAAAGGAAATGATCTGTGCACTTCTGTAATACCTCCAGAGCAGGATCAACACTTGTCTCCGAGGACATGTTCTGAGCTTCAGCCGTCAGGGCAAGTAAAAGCAAGTTCCGCTGGGCATCATCGCCTGCTTTGCAAGTTTGCCGAGCCCTCCTGATCATCTTGCTCTAGCACTGATTGCTCTGCTGGCACTAAAGCTTGCTCATCGTCGTCGGATGAACAGACTTCAACTGCATTTTCATTTGCGCTGCGCCTACCTGCTGCTTCCCGGAGTCTTGCACGAAAATCGGCACCACCAAGCTTTCCCTTACGCCTGTTGCTGGTAAAGTTGGGCTTAGCTCGGTAGCTTGGCACAGGTTCATCATCTCTGCGATGCTCAGACTCTGACTCAGGCACTCGGGACAGTCGCGAACGAATTGCAGACGCCCATGACATTTGCAAGAGCCTAGGGCCTAGGGCCTTGGGCAATACGCTTCTACATTAATTACTGCAAAATTCTTGCAAGATTGGCACTGATTGTTTGTAAAACGTTGTCCACAAGCCCACGACCGTGACTGCACTACACACTGGTACACAGCAAGTGTAGCAGCACAGAAAATGAATAGATAGGCAACCAAATGCTCTTTTCAGGTGGACCACATTATCCAAATCCAAGGATGACTGTGACTAAATTCCAAAATGCCCCACAACCACCTTACACCCCTGTTTGTACATTACCTGCTTGAAGCTCAAAGCAGCCACGGCAAACTCACTGGCAGCAGACAAGTGCATGGCTGCTTGGTTCTTGCAACAAGACTGTCTTCAAATCCAGAGCAATCACAGCTTGCTACGTCAAGCAGAGCAAACAGTGTCCTTGGTCTGGCAAGATTCACCCACAGCAGATGGTCCAGTCTGAAAACGTGGAAGTGGTAGCCCGCGCCAGAGCGCACGCGTGTCTTGCCCAACTTGAAAAGAAACCTGACCAATGGCGGCATGTTGCTTCAGATCACGTAGAGAAAAAAGTACGTGTACAAAGCTTGAATTGCTTTACTAGACTCATTAGACCTGGGACCTTGCCTCAATGTTCTCTTTACAATTAGCAAAAGCTCCTGCTGCCCTCTCCAGTTACCTTCTCACAAGTTCTACTCTACACTCTACAGTCTACGATTCCAGAGGTACTCGGCTGCAACATGCTACAACTGATGCACTACTACAAGAAGATTGCAAGACTGCAAGACCCTCAAGCGTGCCTTGCAAGCGGTGTCGTTGACCCTCCCTTCACTTCGGGCATATCCCAGCCCTCTACGTTCTCAAAGAACCCGCTCTCTGGAGCTGCTGCTGCCAACCAGTCTAGCAAAACCTCCTCCGTGAGGTAAGCATCTGCATGAGTCTTCACACTTCCCTCAGCATAGCGTTTTGCACGCTGACGGCTATAAGGCCTGCAGGGGGTTCCAGAGCAGCCAAGTGAACACCCACGAAGGCTGCACGCGTGACCGTCTTCGTGAAACAAACAAGTTTCAGAAGCTGACTGTGACTCAATGGTCTCGTACATATGCTGCACAGAGAAGTTCTGCTGCGTGAAGTCACGGCAAAGCTTGTCTGAGTCGGCTGCACTGTGCAAAACGAAGTTCAGCTCCAACGCCTACAGTTGCTGGAGCTGGCTATTGACTATGGCTTCAAGTAGGAGTAGGACAGCTTGTGCAGTAAAATGCAAATTGAATATCAAACTGTGCTGTGCTGCACTCACTGCTACACTGCTACACTGCTACACTGAAATTCCAGACCGTGCTATGCTGTTTGCTACACCTACACTCACTTGCTGCTGAGGTCATGGCTACCGGCTATTTGGTTACTATGCGGCACGGCTATCTCAGAAAAACTGGCCTTCAAGGCAAAGGCTTCCGCGCACATTCCAGAACAGGTGCTTGCCAGGGAAAGTGGCATGGCTGCTTTGTCATTGAATTTAAGATGCCGTGTATGCTGTTTCAACAGCTGAGCCCACCAAGGAACAGAATCAACTTCCTGAGAGGAGACAATCGACTCGGGCGAGCTACCCTCGATCACTTCTACGCCACCAGTGGTGTCTGTCCGAGAAACACTAATGACGTCCGCTGGCTGATTGGATTGGCCATCACTCACAGCTGCACACGACTCCTGTAGAGTTGCGCCAGTTGCGCCATCAACAGTTGCCATGATGGGCAAGCAATGGACTAAGCCAGAAGCCAGCTTTGTTGCGCTGCTCTACTTACTATTTTGATACACATGTCTTCGTGTGAGTCAGTCTGGTCGAACAGTGTTCGTGCTACCGACTGCCACTGTGCCAGCAACTGCGCCTGCCCATGGACATGAATCATGCATCCAAAAGCGCAGAAACAATAGCCCGCACTTGAAAAAAAGACATCTCACTCCAGTTGAATGCCCCAGCATTCAATCACCTTGATTTCAGTGATCTCACTTCCACCTTCCGATGTTTCTTCTTTATGACGACTTACACCTTGGACCTTCTGCCTTCTTGTAACTTTGCGCTACCATTGTTATACCTTTGTTCTACCTTTGTTCTACCTTTTATAAGTTTTAGTATTTACTTTCATTCTACCTTCTACCTTTTTTCTACCTTTGTGATCTACCTCTGTTCTACCTTACTTCTACCTTAATTTCACCTTTTATTTAAATCAACATGGGGTCTGATTTCCAATGCCTGCCCTTTACAAGTCTAGCCTTTGCAGGCTTTGGTACTCAATACTGCGAGGCCTCTTCTTACAGATGCCTGAAGGTTTCAAGGTTTCGGAGTCGCGGACGAAGGAAAGGATACCATCACAGGGGGTACGAATGGAAGTCTACCAGGAATACTACCGATATCCACTCCCCCCAATCTCCCTCAAGCATCAGCAAAACTGTGGCCGTAGATCTTAAGCCCTTCAGTTGTCTTCCCTGATTGTGCAGATGACTGAAATGCTGCGGATCCCATGTTGGGTCGATGCTGCACGAGTTAGACGAATTCGTGGGTAAATGAGGGGGCGCCGCCGCTGGCTTCGCTATTCAATCTATAGGCCTCAATACTGACCCGAAGGGGCCCTGATATAAAAATCGGGAGCTTTAGGTCCCAAACGCCAAAATCTAATCCGTTTAGAATGCCGGAAACCCCAATATCTAGGTGCTTGTACCAAATATTTCCTAACCAGTCTTGTGCACAACTCTTATGCGATGTACCCAGACACTGTTCTTCCTGCGAGTGGGTTAGCTCCATCAAGCTCACTAGTGCGATGTGAAAATGATTGCTTGCAAGCACCAGCAGCTGTATGCGCAAACCCAAGCATGGAGTGCGCGGGCTCTTCAAGGTTGTCAATGAGGGCCTGCACTTAATCGGCAGGTCCTGCGTTGCAATCCCCCTACACTGTCCTTCGCAAGTAGGCTTCCAGTTGGCCATGCTGAGGTGCTTCATGCTCGTTTTGGGAACAAATCTGTTCAGCAGCTAAGAGAAATTCAAGCCCTCCATGTTGGAAGACAGCTCCCTCCTCGCCGCTAAAGCACAGGCTATGGATCGGTGAAGCCCAGACCGGCAGTAGCAGGCAACCACAAGCTCCGGATGACCACATATCACTCCTCGCGCCCGATGAGACGGTTTCTGCATCCAGCCATCAAAATGCTGGCTCCGCACGAGCCCGCTGTATTCTTCTAGATCCATACCAATGTGATACCTCTTAAATCAAGGTTGGTTTAGGGCCTACGGTTTTGGGTTTAAGGCTCAGGGTCTAGGGATGAGGCTTGTGGGTGCATGGTTTAAGGTTTGGGGCTTGGGGTTCCAAGTTTTGTCTCGAGCGAGTGTGATGGAGGGTGGCAAACCTGGTCTTATTCGATTCACTGCTATGCAGCGGCGCATGTTCAAGTCTGCGCAGCTGTCTGCCTAGGAAGGAAAATAGTCTGGGAATGGGTGCGTTGCAAGCTATAACCTAAAACTCCAAGTACCTACATACAGCATACATAGGGCCAGAAGATGCAAACCATCTCATATACCCTATACCCTATAGGAATTACAGTACCATCGGGTTCCTAGCGGTGCAAG